ATCTGAGGCAACCCACAATGTGGCTATGCAAAGCTCACAAATCAAGGTGACATACGAAGATTGAATACAAATAACGTGCAAATGCACTCAAAGAACACATGAAAATAAAGGATAAAGTTTTTGGCGTTAAACAACCCCGCCTGAGGGATGCCTCCCGCACTCGACTTCCATTCAGAATCGTAGTGGCGTAATGATTGCGTATGTGACGATGTGCTAGTCAGTGCTGTGCCTCTATCCTCTTACAAGGAAGGTCTTTCAGGGCGTGGGACGCTTTTTAAAAATGGCTTTTTGCATAGTGTAGGGGCATGAGCACTAAGTATATAACTATGGTCCATTTCCGCTGATGGCCTTCTGAATGCCAAAAAAGGAGTGGAAATATTTTGTCACAAGTTGCCGTTTTAACCCACTAAGCGTCGTTCGTTTCTGTCATGGCGTCGACTGTCCGCACAGTAGAAGGGGCCAGCGGAGGCGACATTGAAAATAATGTGAACGGAAGCCAAAAAAGGGACCCATATGTTGAAAAGTGCGGGGAAGTTTCATATAGGCTATCCACGGTTGAGGTGCTAGCAGCGACGGATGGTGTGGCGGACAGCGATGTGGACTTCGAGTTGGAACGACTAGGCTGGGTTGGTGGTTCGGATTTCGGGACCTTGCCGTTTTTGCATTTTATGCTGCCACCTGCAGATTGGCTCCTTATTGCACCAGCGCCACGGTGGTCATGGCCGTGAGCAGGACCAGCCAGGCACATAACCTCTACAAGCCGTTAGAGCCTTTACTATCAGTGGGGAGCTTCCAGGCTTCACACTGCCAGGGTATAAAAGTGTCTCTTAATTTCACACTATGTAAGTGTCGTAATGGGGGGCCAAACCCTATATTATGGTACCTATTCGTAGAAGCTGTCCTCGACCTCGTTCGTCAATGCAGAGGCAACAGGATTCCCGATTCCGACCTTCCTCTGGGCGTCCACCGCGGACTCCTAAGGGAAAACGAATCAGGCTTTTTTTCAACTCGTCTTCTTGCTGAAGCATCCATGAGCATTGGGCTTGATATAAAAAGCTGTCAGCCGTGAAGGAAATCATTCTAGCGCCGGATCACTAGATTAATGACTAGATGAAGGGTTTGAGCGATACCCGTTTCCAACCTACGACCCCCTAACTCCGCGTCCTGCTATGAGGGGCTGGCAGGACACGATCAAGAAGGACATCGTTGAAGTCAAGGTGACTGCAGAAGATGAGTGACTGATCGTGAGGAGAGAAGGAAATGGAGATGACCAACCAGAACAGTGGACAAAAACCCTTCAACGGTGCGAGATCAACGCTTGGGTAAAAAAGGGTGAAATCATCGAAATTAGATGAGCCTTTCATCAGTTTTGAAGGAATTCGGTCGGTACAAAACAACAATGAAACCATTACTGTCGAAATCATTCAAAGAATTGTAGGGACTGTGCAATGTCCATACAATGTCCAAGGACCAGAAGATATGATGTCCAATTTTTCGAGTATCGAAATGACATCATACCATTTTACGAACATTTTTCCAACTGGATGAACTCTTGATTTGGGTCAACTGATGAAAAAACTACGTGAGGAAGTGGGGGGGGGGGGGGGGGGGGGGGAGGGAGGGACTTCTGGGAGTGCGAAGCCTGGAAACTCTTCCATGGATAGTGCTCCACACAACAAATTCTATCGGCTTGCAGAGGCTATGTGCCTGGCTGGTCCTGGTCACGACAATGACCAGTCAAACACCTGCTTCGGCCCTGGTGCAGTATGGAGACAACGTGGAGGTGGCAGCATAAAATACAAAAACGGCAAAGTACCGGAAATCCGAACCATCAACCCATCCTAGTCGTCCTTCCTCGAAGTCCACATCGCCATCCACCACACCATCCGTCGCCTCTGGCAGCTCAACCCTGGAGAGCCCATATGAAACTTCCCCTTTTCACCATGTGGGTCCCTTTTTTGGCTACCGTTCTCATTATTTCAATGTCCCCTCCACTGGCCCCTTCTACTGTGCGGACAGATGGACCATAGTTGTATACTCAGTGCTCATGCCCCTACACCATGCAAAAAACCATTTCCAAAAAGCGTCCCACGCCCTGAAAGACCTTCTTTGTTAGCCTGGTCTGGTACCAATTAAGCGTCCCCGGAGGGATGGAAAGCTTGGTTAACCTAAGCTGGTATCGAGAATCCAGGATTCGAACCCAGGATCATGCTTGTGAGATAGTGCGCCACTTGCGACCTCACCAATCCCGCCCCAAAAAATACATAGCTAGAAAAAGCCTAACTCCACAACTGCTCATAATGATTGCAGAAGGCAGCAGTTTATCCACTGGAATCACGACAAGGAGTGTAAGAGAGGATCTTTCTTCTCATCAGTAGCTTTACACAAATAGTGGTCTAGGATTCTCTAGCTACCAGCCAAGGCCTACCAAAAGCAAATCACCGAGTTGAGCATAATGCCAGGCATAGGATAACTTATACAGTGCTTGGAAGGTCACATCCTTGAACCCAAACCAGGTGCTGTGCATAGTGAAGAAGTGGCAATTTCAATATATACGGCTTGTGTTGATTCATGTACGAGCACCAGCAACACGTCATTCATTTCTGTTTCTCGCGATCGCCGTCCACGGTTGACTCAAGATCCGACGAAAAAGATGATATAAGAATTTGTTTAGCTGCATTTGAAGCTGTTTCATGTGGACGGCAAGCACTTCCTTCCATCTTGCAGCAGGCCTTCTCGTAAAAATCCTGTATGGGCCCACTCAGCCGTTCTTCTTGTCCACCTGTCATCATTTTTTCTCATGATAGGACTAGACCATCGACATTTGGCGTTTTTCATGAATTTCAACGAATAGCTAAGGCGAAACATTCTGCGCATATCAGAGCTGTGTAGTCCGTTTCGATATTTAGTGAGTCGATTGAACCTCAAAATACATCGCTCGAGTGGGCCGTTATTTATGCCCAAGGTCGTTGACGTGGATACACTGAAGAGCGCAGGTAGATCTATTGAATAGAACAGACTGCCGCAAGGCTCTGGATCAGTCACATGGTTGGGGACTTTTTTGTTCTGCAAGCATAGTGGCAAGTTCCGCAACGCTGCTCGAAAACAGAGCGATGTCGTTGGCAAATTTAAAAGCAAACGTTCATTCACACGAGTGCCTCTCTCACCCCAGCCCAGCCATTTCCGTTCAGAGCCCGCCCCTTGTAGGCAGGGTCTGGTCCTGCCACCTACCATTAGTGTTCCCATCGTGCCGCCTGTAATACTCTTAAATTTGAACTCTCTAGGTCTACAGGAATCGGAGTTATGAATTTTTGCTCAAACATTAATTTCGCTCAAACCTCGCCCCTTGTGGGCGGAGCTCGCACCTGCCACCCAACATAAGTGTTCACGCCTGTGCTCCTGCTGAATTTGAACTCCCTAGGTCCATGGAATCCGAAGTTATGAATTTCCGATCAAACCCACACAGACCAAACATAAGACACACTTGGCGCGCTATATATATGTATACAATAGAATTGCAGCGCAGCTATGAACAGCTTTAGCGGAATAGAGCCGCTCTGTCTTACACCCTCCCAGTGAGAACGGTGAGAGGTCACCGTCGCGACTACTATAGTCAGTCTGTCTCCTTATATAGGGAGGCTCCACCTCTTGCTCGACTAGTGCTGACAGAACCAAAATCGTTTGGGACGGTCAAAAGTTTTTTCGTATCAATAAAGGTGAAGCAAAGGGCATACAGTATTCTCGGCTCACTCTGTTGACTATTGCGACTGCTTGCATGTGATATAAGAAGCTGAATCCCCTCCAAAGTCTAACATTTCCAGCAGGTGGAGCTTCATCCGAGCAATATGCGGGTCAGAATGATCTTCGTAAACAGCTTGTATAGGACGCTAAACAAGCTTAATGGGCGGCAGTTGCGAAGATCATCGCGGTGTCCTTTATTGTTAAGAATGACTATCCGCAGGTTACTCCACAGAAGCGCACCAAGTTCGTGACCACCTACACGGATTAGGTCGGCTGAGATCTTCTCAGAACTCAGAGAAGAACTCCTCTTCATGCTCGCAATCGCACCTCATCTCCGAAGGAAGTATCCGAGGTGCTGCTCTCCAGTGGGAATTTCCAAATTTTGCACGTGAGTCATGGATCGCTGTGAAACCTCTGTGTAGCTCCCTCCCGAATTTCGATGGTGTAAGTGTTCCGTCTTTTTTTCAAATCTGAAGTGCGAGTGAACGTACTCATTCAAGGAAACTTGGCCTTTTCAGCGCAAGTAAGAAGACCCCGAACCAGCGGTCTTCGGTCGGGTCATCCATGGCAAAATCATGTCCGGACGATGTGTCGTTTAGAGCGTCTCTCGCGGACACAGCGTGCTTAGTGCTCTTTGCGCGAGTCTATAGATTTTTTCAGCTCGTGGCCGAATCTATCTCAGTGCTGAGGAGTCGATAATCAAAACTATTGCCGAAGGATTGCAATACACCAGTAAGCAGCACTGTCGCGTTTCGCGAAGACCGTTCCGAAGAGTCTACGATTCTTGAGGGTCACCGTTGCAACTGACCGTTCACAACTAAATGTGGTCATGCGAGAATATTACTTACTTCGATACTTAGACGCTTGTTGTCGGCCGATAATATTCAGCAGCGAGCACACCCTTTCCCCATTTTTTTCGGGATCTCCGCTCGTTTCGGCATGTGCTCGTTTATCGCGAGTCGGTATTGGGCTTTTCGAAAGTGACAGTCCCACTGCATGAGATGACTTTGGAAGAGAGTGCCTTAATCTGGACGCCCACTGCCTATGGAGCATTCGAAAAGCTGAAGGCATTAATAGCAAAGGCTCCCGTGCTCGCTAAGCCTGATATTGAAGCAGCAAGAAGTGGGAGGAGGCTTTTGAAAATTTTCACAATGCTAGCGCAAAATGTGCGAAAACCTACCACATAGCAGATTCAGAAGCGCCATCAGTAGTCATCGCGCTTCACATGCTCGTTTAGAACCTTCGGAGTTTTTATGGACCATTAAGCGCTGACAGCTTTTTTTAAAGGAACAATGTCTGCGTCACAATTCCTTCGTTGGCCCTGGAATTATAGAAGTACGATGTGAAGATAGTCTACATGAAGAAAGCAGCATCAAGGTAGCTGATGCTTTGAGTCGCGGAGCTGTGCTTTTAGAAGGCAGGCATCGTCAAGTCAATTCCGAAGGAACTCATTGTGGGAGCTGGTCAGGAAGATTCTTAGTGGGAAGGCAGATTACGATAGCACCCCCTCTACGACAAGGTCATAGCGGACCTTTTAAGAGGGGAGGCTTAACAACGACGTGACCTTCCCAGAAGCATAAATAAATAATCGTTGATTTCGCTATGGTTCAGGGGGCTCTTGCGCTATGGTTCAGGGGCCCTTGTGCTGATGGAAAACGAACACCATAGAGTGGTCGTTTGGGGGAGCATATGCAACACACAACAAAGCCAAAGTGTTCTTTGAAACATGGGTTGGCGTCGGCCTAAACGGATGCTCTCTGGTCAGAGTGGAGGGTTTGGCAATAAGCTAGTAAAAGAACTGAGGAACATCCTGGGAGTTGATGTACTCACTAAGTATGTAATATAACCTCCGTGAAAATGGAACAATGGAGATTTTCACTCAGACCATCATAAAAATGTTACGGGAAAAGTGCAAGGGTCAGGCGATTGGAACAAGGTTTTACCTTGATGCGTTTTTGCATATAATATCATGAATCAACCGGAGAGC